ATTAGTAGTTGAATTTTCAATGTGCGACATATATCATTTTTTTGGAATGATTTTTGATAGAACATGTCTCCAAACTTCCCCATTGTGTGTCATTGGGGAGGAAATATAATCGAGGAGTCGAACGGAATTCGTTATGAAGGGGGGAGTAGGAAGATAATAGTTGTTTCCTGTGGGGTGGGTGTGGCTGAGCTAATGAATAAAATTTATACCGCCACATCCATCAATCGTATGAACAAGTTGGATTTGAAAGTTAAATATCCCATTCATGGTGGGTCATACATGTTGATGTCTCTTGCTGACGACGAAGCCGTTACGGGGATGTGGACCTTGATCAAGAATCTTGTTATGCATACCATGGAGATATATGTTGAAGAAGTGACTGTGTTGGCCATACAACCTGACAACCTGTCATTATCTTACCCATCCACAAGTGTTCCAGTTGTGATGAATATGGTTGCACAGGAGAATGGAAGATACATGAACAGTGATTCAACATTTCTGGATTCACAGCACATCGACGACGATGCAGATGAAAATGTGAATCATGACACACTAACAGATTCAGATGAAGATGGTGGTGATCTCGTAAGTGGCAATGCTCCATCCAGTCACTACACTAAAGTTTATGAGCTCCCTGCGGGATTTGATGAATCATGGAGGGGTTGTATAACTTCCAATCGCTTCTCTGCAGATGGTGAATTCGAGGTTGGGTAAGAGTTTGATGATAAGAAACAACTAATTAACATGGTTAGAATGTACTCTATAAAGAGGAATCAGTTTTTCTCAGTTGTAGAGTCTGACAAACACAAATGGGTGGCAGAGTGTAAATGCAAAAAAGAATGTGGTTGTACTTGGTGGATGCGGGATACAAAGAAACATGTAGGGTTAGATATGTTCAAAATTGTTCGTTATGCAGGTCCTCATATACCTACTTGTCTAGGTAACATTGATAACAATGATCATGCTGGTGTCACATCTCAGTTCATAGCACGTGAAATTATTGATCTTCTTCGTACTGATCCATCACTAAAAGTCCGCACTATTAGTGAGCTTATGAAAGAAAAGTAAGGGTATGTACCTTCGTACAAGCGAAGTTGGTTGGCTAAGCAAAAAACTATCGGTGAAATATTTGGAGATTAGGAGGCTTCATATTCTGCTTTGCCCCATTTCATGTTGGCATTACAGCATTCCAATCTAGGGACAGTCGTACATTGGTACCCACCTCTTTCAGGTACCAATGAGTTATTAAAATCTTTTATCTTATCATATTGCATTCCATTTTCAATTCGTTCCTCTAATTTTCTTCGTCTTTTAGGTACCACTGACTTTGTACAGGTTCAAAGAGTTTTTTGGGCTTTTAAGCCATCCATTAAAGGCTTTAAGCATTGTCGTCCCTTACTGACCATTGATGGAACACACTTATATGGGAAGTATAAAGGTACATTGTTGGTGGCAATGGGTAGTGATGTTAATAATCAACTTTTCCCTTCGGCGTTCGCTGTTTGTGAATCAGAGAATGGAGAGAGTTGGCCGTGGTTTATGGGGTGCACACGTCATTTTATCACACGCAGAGAATTGTGTGTTATTTCAGATTGACATGCTGGAATTCTGGAGGCACTTAATGAGGTAGGTAGTGGATGGGAGGAGCCAGATTCACGACATAGGCTTTGCATACGTCATGTTGCTTCTAATCTGCATACTCAATTTAAAGACATTCACTTGAAGAATCTGTTCGTTTGGACAACAAGTCAACGTCAAAAGAAGAAATTTGATGGTGGATTTAACAGGATAGGCGAAATGCAGGCACAAGCACGAGAATATTTAGCGAACATTGGTTTGGAGAAGTGATCTTTACACCACGACGGGGGGTACAGGTATGGCACCACAACAACGAACATGGCTGAGGTTTTCAATAGCGTCATGAAAAGTGCATGATACATGCCTATAACCACATTAGTTGAGTTATCATTCTATCGTGTGAATGCCTATTTTGTGGAAAGAAGAGAAACTAGTAAGAGAAGGTTAGCAGAAGGGCATCGCTATTGCCAGCATGTGACTGAACTGATTGAGAAAAATACGGAAAAGGCAAAGCATCACAAGGTCACAACATTTGACATAAGCCGTGGTTTATACCAGGTGGAGACGGGTCGTGGTGGTCGAGCTGTGGGGAAGGGTGGTACAAAACAAACGGTGAATTTGCACCGTCGCCATTGCACATGTTAGAAGCTGAATATTTATAAGATTCCTTGCTCACATATCTTAGCGGTATGCAGAGAACGTAGTTTGTTCTATGATGCTTTTGTTGATATATTTTTCTCATCCTCGGAGTATGTGGCTTCTTATAAAAGAGTATTCAAGCCCATACCGGATATAACTTATCGACCTAACTACACTGGACCACGACTTGTGCATGACCCGTCAATGATTCGCGCTAAAGATCGTCTGAAGTCTAAACGTTTGAGAAATGAAATGGATGAAGGTCCTAGAGGTACTGTGAGATGCGATTTATGTAAGCAAACAGGGCATAATAGGACGGCATGTGCTAAAAGATCGCGGGGACACGTACGAAGTTCCACTGGGTAATCTTGTTTTTTTATTCACATATGCATTACAAATATTGATAAATAAATAAAATTAAATTTAATAATAATATAAAATTACTAATACATATATTACTATTACAGCGCCGATGCAGGTGTCAGTGGATCCCGGACCGATTGATCCTTCAGTCCTGACATTGCAGGCCACGCACTGAAGCGAGGATGTGTGGCGTGGCCTGGATGTTCAGGTAGATAGGTGCCGTGAGCACCTACGCACTATATTCTGCATGCAGATGGACCCTAGGATTCTACATTATGTTCGATTAGCCAGGTTTTATGGCGTTCACAGATTAGTTTCGACTCTGCATATAGATAGAGCATTACTTACCGCTCTACTTGAGCGTTGGAGACAGGAGACTCACACTTTCCATTTACCGGTGGGCGAGGTCACTATAACATTGGGAGATGTGGCTGTATTGGCAGGTCTACCCATCGAGGGTCGGACAGTTACTGGGACTGCATGTAGAGTGTGGGTTGATTTGGTACACAGATTGTTGGGAGTACGACCAGACGCTGGGACAGATATTCGGGGCCCCGCCTTGAGGATGGCTTGGTTGAGATATCATTTTACTGATTTACATGTTGATGCTGATGACGCTGTTATGCAGCAGTACGCCAGAGCCTACATTTTGATGCTTATGGGAGCCTCCACATTTGTGGACAAGAGCGGTAATGAGGTTCAGGTCTTGTATTTACCCATTCTGGAGTCTTTTGATGTAGTTGCAGTTTATAGCTGGGGTAGTGCGACGTTAGCATATCAATATTGGCAATTATGTCGAGGTTGCCATCATGACGGTGGAGAGATGGGTGGTTTTTTATTGCTCATACAGCTATGGTCATGGGAGCACATTCATATCGGCAGACCCGTCATACTACGATATCATGGGGTAGATGGTGGTCCTCTTGATGATGCTATGGATCAACACGATCAATCTGTACTTGGGCCACATCATGTCCGTGGCGACGACCCTTTGGGTCGTAGGTACGTTTATGATTCTTTTTATATTTATGTATGACATATGTGAATCCCTTTTATATTCTTGTAAATTACTGTGTGTCAGATGGCTATTTGCTCATGTCACGCGCACGTCATCTGCTGCTGGATTAGGATACTACCGCAATGCTTTAGATCGCATGTGTGATGATCAGGTATATCATTAAATGTAAGTACTTTGTTTTACGTTTTTGTAAACCATAGGGTAACATGATTTTATATTATAGATGACATGGATGTCGTACACTGATGAGATTCTAGGACTGTTACCTCTTGTTGCCTGAGAGCACAGAGAGATATGGCGAGCATGTGTGCCCTTGATATGTTTTGATGTAATGGAGCATCACTTTCCTGATCGCGTACTACGACAGTTCGGGTTGCAGCAGGTTACTCCTGGACCTTGTGATACATCTGTGGACTTGCACAAGATTGATAGACGGGAGAAGCACAGTGAAGATTGGGGGATGTGCCATAATCAGTATATCACTATGTGGGATGAGAGAGCGACGTATATAGTGGACGGGACCCCATCATCAGTCCCCACAGCTTCTGTAGAGTACGTGAGATGGTATTACACCATCACACGGGTGTTCATCTCTCCCAGCTTTCATTTACCCACTGATCATTACCAGCCTAGCTCAGTCGCTCTTCATATGACGGTAACCAATATAGTCAATAAAATAGCTTTATTTATTTATTCATATATTTTTCAATAATAACCATGTTTGCATTACAGACACATGCTTTGTGTAGCATCCATGACATAGCGACTGTTGTACTTGATGAGACGGTAGATATACAGGGATATCATGACGCTTGTTCGGGCATTGTTGCTCTGTGCGCTGATGTATTGGGTCGAGTGGATTATGGATATATGGCCGACTCTCAGCATTCTACCGCATCTACATCCACAACAGGGTCTTCTCAGGCAGTCAGACGTGATAAAGTTGTTCTTCAGCCTCGTAACCAGCGCAGGCGCCGCCGAGCACAGCCACAGCCACATAAACTTCATGATGATGATCACGTTGACTTATGATCTTTGTATTTATATTATTGTGTGAGAGTTGTAACATGCACTGGCAGATCGAATCATTTTCTGAAAACGCCGGATTTATTATAACTTTTATGTTTATTTCAAGTGTTGCAATGCAATGAGTTTCATTGATTCGTTTTATGTTTCAGATGTATTTTGTCTTAGTAAATCATATATTTGGTTGTTTGTTTGAGTAGAATGGACTGTGATGAGGACATTTCCTGCTAACTACAGGTTCATTTGGTTCATTTGAGTAATAAACAATCCAGCATACTGCTTAACACAAGAGCCGCCACTTGGAGTGACGGCTTTCCTTAACCGTGTTTAACCACAACAGTATTTTGGGAATTATTATTAACCCGGTAGTATTTCGGGAATTATTTATTTAATTAGCATTATTCCGGGAAAAAACTCACCGATCCATCCCTACAGGTACTTCATCAGAAATAAACCCAAGGATGTAAACTTCTGTGAGACCTCTCATGGTGAGACAGTGATGCTTTTTAGCAAAATTTGTATTAGTGAAATATATTACAAAAGTTGCTAATGGTTCATTAAAAACCCATTGAGCGACACAGTAGAAAAAAGAAGTAAATATACAAAAGTGAAGCAGAAGCCTGTTCCATTATCAAACACCAATCTGCTTGTTTCTCATGGTCGGGGTTGAATAGCAACTGCGAGTTGGACGGATATGATAAAAGTGGAACGCCCTGCCTCCCTGAGGTACTGAACATCCCCATTCATAAGTTTTACCAGCTTTCTACTTACAAGAAGGCTTATTCCCTCCTCCGATGTGTCTACCTCACTACCAAACATTTGGGTTAGCAGCTCTTCGGGCACCCCACCCCCTGTGTGTGTTATTCTGCAACATAACACCACTAGATTATGAAAAACTATTTCCCCACAACTTAACAAACAGCTATAACAGTAACACGCAATCAAAGCCTAATCTTAAATCACCCAGGATGGCATATTTGCAAAAGAAGGCGAACAAACAATCATGAACAAAAATTACTAACCACACACACTTCAGTAACTAGAAGTATGTATATGCCACAAGCCTTTCATAAGAAGGCCTTTTTCATTTTAGAATTAGAAGTGCTTCTAAGAGAAGAACCAATGTTGTGTTTTCTTAAATAAGAACAACAGGCTACTTCTTTAAAGATTTTTTTTTTATAGCACTTCTTTAAAGAATTAAAAACCATTTCTTTGGAAATTTTGATTCTAATAATCCAACATTTTTCTGGCCTGCAAATAACAGTCCTACCCTTCACTTTCTTGACAAAAATCCAACCTTTGTTTCCCCCTTCTGATATGAGTTCACATATTAAAAATTTCACGTAGAATTGATTCTTGGTGCATTCAGGTTCACTCAAAATATGTTCTTTATCTGAAGGACTTTTGAAACAATGTATTACTCTAAATAAAGTAAAATCTATTATTCTAGAAAGAGTGATAGCTTAGACTATTAGGGGTTCTTTACTTGCGACTTAATTGACTAAATCTGGATAGTGACTTAATTGTTCAACCATTAAATCACATTTACATACGACTTCATTAAAAGCACGACTTATTCATTCAATTAAAAATTGACTCAACCATTAAGGTAGTTGAACATTTCTCTTTCACATTAAGTTGTCTATTAAAGCATCTATTCAGTCGGTTTTTAAACCATGCTTGAATAGATGCAAATTAACAAGTGCCATTACTCATTGACAACATAACCTAAACATATTACTCATTTCTCCTTCACTTATTTTTTTTGTTTGTTACAAAAGAACTTTCACAAAGTGTAAGGGTAAAATAAAATGGGTAGTGAATAGTAAAAAGTGGGAGAAATGGTGGGGAAAATATGAAAGAAAAGATGAAAAGGTAGAAAAAGTAAGGGCAATTAAGTATTTTTAAATGGAAAATTTACCAAAAAGGGAATGTGTTGCAAAAATTAAAATTCTTCCCAAAAAGAAAAGTGTAGCAGACAAAAGAACACAGGGGGTATTAAATTGATTATTTTACTCAATTCAAACTCTTTATTCAACATGCAAAATAAAGTCTCACAGACATATATCCCTTAGTCTAGATACACACAAGATTTATCGGAAAAAAGAATAGTGACAAGATTATAAGCAAATCAAAGAAGGGTTGGATTATTACACCCTTACGGACTCTAAAAATGTAAATGTTCCATGGCTTAATTAAGTAAGGTTTATCAAACCGGTCAAATTAATATAGTACCTGAATTCCAGATGAGCAAGCTGGACTGATTCTCCCAAACAATCTTTTGTTAAAGTATATGCGAGTGCAAGATGGCCTCCAGTTGGGGTGAAATTTGCAGCTACTGACAAAAATTCAGCAAGGACTTGTTGAAGCCTCAGACTATCTCCATATAATGTTTGACCAAGATTAGTTTCAGCTACGTTACTAATTATCCTTAAACTCTTTCCATTGACCTTTGTCATCACTTGACTCATTGAAGCAAGTAATACTTCATCTACCTTAAATTCAACCATCTCTAGATCCAGATACCTGCATTTAAGAAGAACAAATACCAAGGCATTGCCCACTGATAGTAGAACAAAACAAATAGATTCAAGAAAGAATGAATGGCACAAAAAGAAGTAATTGTTTTGTAGTAGTTAAACAATAATTCTTCACTTGGTAGCCTTATTCAGCTTACCAGCAAAGGAACTTGAAAAGAAAGAGGTGGAATATTCTCAGTGTAGTTAAGCATTAATGCTTCGTTTGGTAACCTTATCCAGCTTATTTTGCTTATGAACATAGAAACTTGAAAACAAAGACAAGTGAAAAAAACTCAGGGTAGTTAAACATTAATGTTCTGTTTGGTATTCTTTTTCAGCTCATTCTACTTATTAGCATACAAAAACTATTCAACATATAGAGTTGAAAAAAATCGTGAGGTTCCAATTGGGGCCTAAATAAGTAAAAGCTACTTATTCCGTTGATAAACAGAATAAGCCGGGTAAGGCTGCCAATGGAAACTCTATATTAAACTGCCTTGAATTTTAACTTCATTTTTCTTTTCAAGTTTCTATGCTGATATGTAGAATAAGCTGATTTAGGAAGGCTTCTAAATTTGAACATGTAGAATTTATTGTTATTATTGGATTATTAAACAAGTTATATGAAAAAAAAAACTATATGGATATATATAAATGAAAAAACTTGTGTACATATATGAAAAAATATTTATACCTATATCCTTATACTTTTTTAATACTTACATGTTTTCCCTACGTTTCGTATCCTATATACTTTCTCCGTTCTTTTTTATTGCAACATTCCAATTTTCATGTCTGTCAACGTGCAAGTTTGACCACTAATATATTTCATTCCTTATTAGTAAAAAGTTAAAATATTCAGATTTTGATAATATAAAATGAGAGATATTTAACAATATTTTTCAAAAAAATAATTTATAATATCTTAATGATTAAAATGTTGTCAAAATAGAGCATGTAAATAGTGTAAAATTCACGAATGTTGCAACTAAAAAAGAACGGAGGTAGTATATTTTTAGAAACTACGTACCTAGGGTTTCTCATTTCCCGTTTCCCATTTCCGTGCTACTTAGGTTCTTACTTTCATAAAGTTAAGATGATTAGCCATTTCAGCCAAATAACCCTTCTTAAACGGGTCAGCGAAAATTTATGCAGATAGGTTTATCAAATTATACCCCTCGATGATGCCGTCAAGATCCGTGTCATCAAGAACTCTACTGAGCTGTTGCAGACACTGATCACTGCTATGCAATATGTTCCTCTGGTCTTTTCCCAAATCAGCGGTCCCCTCCAGCATATTTTGGGAGAACATAATTCCAGAAAGAGGGTTTTTGACCTGCTTTCTTAAGTAGGCTAAAACTCGCAACCTCTTCGCTGCAGCTTGTTCGGACAGTTTTTGAAGATGAAGGGCTTGTTGCAATTCATGGCTCACTAACTGAAGAAAACAAAACAGCCCCTTGACTGAATCCTCTCCGTCTAATCTTTTGCTCACGGAAAGCAAGCACTCCACATAGTTCCCATTTCGCTTAAAGAAACCAAACACGGTCTTCTCGGACTCGTGACCGGTCATAGCATTGTTCAGAACAACACCCAGTCTCACAGAAGCCTCTTCATTTTTGAGAAGACAAAAGGCTTTCTGGGTCCCGAAAATCTCACCCAAAACCATCTTGTCGATGACCTCATCACGACGCCATCCAGATAACTTAGTCATTGCTGAATTCCACTCGGAACACCAACCAAATTCATCTGTTCCAAATATAGGCGGAATCAAAGGGTTAGGGTTTTGGATAATGGACTTGTAATCTCCTTCCATCCGTGTGAACTTGTCCATAACTGTCTTTTGTCCGGTTATGTCCTGTGCTATTAAACAGACACCGACCACATTTTCTTGAGCATCCCTGCTAGTACAAGTGTTCACAATTAAGCTGATCGGACCATATTCTGACATTTTCCCATATGCTTTTATCTCGAATTGCACGTTATTTTGTTCTCTCCCTGGTAACATTGTTAAGAGAATGAACAAGAGGATCAACAAAGGTTTCAGACTAAAGGATGATTTGGAACTACAAATATGAAGAGTGTACAATTTACATTACTTATATGGTACACAAGAGAAGTAGAGAAGAAGAGAAAGAGTATGAGAAGAAATGAAAATGTGTATTGTTTGGTACACATAAAAAAGAGAGATAAAGAAAGAAAATGAGTGTTATTGTTAAAATGACAAACATGCCGTTCAATTTTAAAATAATACTATGAAATGAGAGGAGACTCCAAAAGGAGTTTGTTCCTCATTCCTTCCCTGTGCTTTGCTCTCCCAACAAGACATGAACTCTTCATCTTTTTCCTTCTCTCACCTCCCTCATTATCTCTTCTTTATTTCCTTGGGAAAAAACAATGGCAAGGCAACATAATGCCTAGGTGATTTTTTTTCTTACTTTTCAGCAATGACAAAAATGCATCACAAAGGTCATAAATAAGTACTCCCTCCGTCCCACTTTGTAAGATACTTTACGGTTTACGATGTTTGACCGACGATAAAGCAAACGGATCTCTGGTCGCACTGAAAATATTTTAAGAAAAAATAATTTACATATTCATAAACTATATTAAAAGCTTAACAAAGTCGCAAAAGCCAGAATAAAATTTGATAAAAACTTGATTTATAAAGTAAGAGATTGTGAGTGATTTGTGTTGACCGAGTGAATAGGAAACATATCTTACAAATTGGGACTGAGGGAGTACTTAAAAACACATACCCTCTAATGCCAAACTCAACATCTTTTCAACTGCATGAGCTGAAGAGTCTTCCACGAGTGTCAGCAAGTCCTTCCCAATCACTCCATCAACCGTTAAGCCGGTCAACTCGGCAATTTTCTTGTTCCACCCATTCACCAGGCCATCTACGCCAACAGCCAAGATTGGCACGGTGGCCGTCTCAATGAGACGAACCATCTCATCCGTCAAAGCTTCAAGTTCCCCCATCCCCTCAATCATCAGGTCACTAAGTCTTGTGTGGATCCCATTCCCATCCGTACCCTCCACCTCCTCCTTGAAGAAAGCGTTTCTCATTATTAGCTGCAAAGAATGAATGCCGTCCATCTCATAGTCCTTCCAAGGCAAACTCCTCATTTTAACAACTTCAAGAAATGCTTTAAATGATGATCTCGGATGCATTTTCTTCCCACCATCTTTCTCGCCCGGTTCATGTTTTGCACCGCCCCAGAAAATTTCACACACTTTTTGGGACCGGAACCAGAAAAGCCAATCTTTTTCAGATAATCTGACAGAAGCCATCCCACATATTGCATCACTAAGATAAACTGCCCCTGGGAAACCGGCTTCATAGAGGCTATCCGTGCTAAGGCCGGTGGAGTCCATATGGTACTCTGAAAGCCAAGAGAGAATATCGTTTAACTGGAAATCAGTAGGAGTGACTCCCAATCTGTGTATCTTACTCTTATACAGCAGAACAGCACCGTCACACTTCACAAGATCCATCATATTGGGACTCTGAGACACAATCCCTAATGCCGCGTCCCTAAGCATCATGTCACAAAGGAGCGTTTGGGTGCGTAAAATGCTCTTCTCTACAATTTGCATTTCCAACTCTATTTCCTTGTTTACATGAATGGAAAACACCTGGGAAAGAAACTCGCATGCATACCGAAGTGGAAAAGGGATAAACCTCGGAGTTGTGTTATGACACACCACCAACCCCCATAGCCTTTTCCTCTTTTGCCCCTCCTCACCTTCTTCGTCACCCTCATTTACCACTACTGCCATTACCAGAGATGCTATGCAGCTCATGTTCTCCATGTACTGTAAATGGCAAGCGTGGGGTGCCCGAAGCGTGGACCCACACAGTGTTAAATCAGATGATAGCTTCTCATCTTGAACCACCCTCACAAGTTTTGCTTGGGAATCACATATCATACGGACCTTATTCTTCATGAAAAGAAACCGTGCAGCTTGAGGGATATCGGTTGCTGGATAATGCAGACCCAAATAAGGGTCAAGCCCAGGTTTGGCTATCTCGGAAACAACCTCCCCGTGATCGTCATCATGAAACTTATAAGCCATCACCCTATCATACCCTGTTAGCTCAAACACTTCTTGGACCATAGTGTCACACAGTCTTGCCATGCTGCCATTTGGCAAGGACTGCAACCGCGCAATGGCTTTTGCGGCAAGCTTGTATGATTGCAGAGCTCCTGCAGCAGTCATTGGTGCTTCATAACGTTTCACCGGCTCAAAGTCAACTATCAGACCACCGGTCACCCTATGGATAATTGCATAAAATGGCTTACCGGAAGTTTTGCAGTGGACTAAGATGGGATTCAACAGACCAACCTCTCCAAATCCCAAGGCCTTCTGCAATGCAGTTCCACTCGGACCAGTAAAAACGGTTCTGAAATCAGTTCCGATACCGAGAACCGAATGGTCCCCAACGCTCGGAACAGTGTGGTTGACCATTGTTAGCATGTCAGGAGCATTTCCACTGAATGCTATGACTTTAAATGTTTTTTCATCCAGAGCTAACAAACAGCCGAATGGCTGGATGAATTTGGCTTTTTGGATTTGATGGAGATAGGCTGTGGTTACTTTGTCAGACCTTGGTTTCTGCTTTTCGGTTTTCATGCCTGTGGCTCGGATTGAGCTCGAGTAATCAAAGAAATCACCTGATTCCTCAAACTCAGCATGGAGCTTAGCATCTATGGTTGTCTGTTCTATGATCCTAGCACTGCGTTTTGATTTTGCTGAATTGCTAGAAGACTGGCTAGGCCTGGAAGACGACATTTCAACTCAAATCTGAACAAAAGGTGCAAAAAAAATAATTTCAAATATGAAATACTCCAAAGAGGCAATGATCAAGGTCAACCATGTACCACAAGGAAAGCATAAGCTAAAACCATTGCTATCATCATCATCATCATTATAGAACACCCAGTTACAATAGAATCATAACTGAGTAAACTCCTTCCAATACATAAAAAGGAAACAACTTCAATTACAATAATAGGGTGGAGATTCAAATTTAAAAAATTGATAAGTTTCAGTGCACAGAAATGCAAAAGAACTTCAGCTTAAAGAATTAGATGGTTTGTCATGCGCACATACATTGAAGGGGAAAAACTCTGTCTTTGCAGACAACAAGAAATATAATGAAGCAAGAAAAGATCTAGGCGTCTTGGAAAGGATAAATGGCTAATGGTGGGATTTCGTTAGCAGCTTTATACCATAAAAAAACTCACATTTTCAATTGTTATAAATTCATATACAAAAGTATAACTTGAAAAGATAGCTAGTAACTAGGAAATAGATTCATTAGAAAAGTACAAAAAACAATAAACATAAATTCAGCTTGAGGTCAAATATATCTTCTCAATCAAATTAGAAAAGTACACTTTCCTTTTTTTAATTGTCTCACTGAATTTGACAACTTTCCCTTTAAGGAAAGATTTTGGATGCACTCATAGCAAGTTTAAAAGCGTTCTTTAAAGTTACTCCGTACTTAATATGCAACATGCATATGATGGGAGACGCATCTTACATCATTTATGGCCATTGGCCATTGTTTAACTCAAGGATTTTAAAGATCACCAATTGGTGGTAGTATACTTATATGATACTTGCTCGGCATATAAGTACAATCTTTGAAGTGAGAAAGGCTGATTAGCCGACCTGTTTCATCAAGACTGCAGAGATCCAAGAGTTGAGCTTTCAGCTCAAATTCTCAAACTACAACAGAAGGAAGAGCTTGAGGAGCTATAAGTTCTCATTCCAGAAAAGCGATCAGTCACCGCATACCCTATACCTTTGATCCTCCTAGGGACTCGCACACAGCGGGAATCTTAGTACAGAAATTTATACGGAAACGTCCGAAAGTGATGAGCAAGTGGATTAAGGTACACTGTTTGAGTTTGATGTGTTTTTTAAAAATTACTCCCCAATTTGTAAATGGACTAAAAGTCGATAATGTTTAAAAACAAAAGTGATTTTATTAAAAGGGAAAATCGCATATATGGTCCCTTAGTTATACACAAAATTAAAATCTCAGACCTGTAAATATCACCTCTCAATTGTCCAAAATGCTTTAAATGTGGTCCTTTTGAGGGGTGAAATATACAATGTGAGCGAGAATACATTTCACCACTTAAATGACCGTATTTACAATAATTTGGACAATTGAGGAGTGACATTTACAATCTCAGAAATACAGGTCTGAGTTTTTAATTTCGTGGATAACTGAGGGATCGACCATATATGCGATTTTCCCTTATTAAAATGTAGAAGATGAAGTGTTAGATAAAAAAAGTGAGAGAATTGCACTTTTAGTCTCTAAAATAGTCGTCATATTGAAATGTCAGATTCGTGTTTTCCAATTTGTAAATGTCACTCTTCAATTTCAAATTGTTGTAAATTTGGACAATTGAAATGTACAATGTGGTCGAGAAGTACATTTTACCTCTAAAAAACCACATTTTCAACAATTTGGACAATTGAGGGATGACATTTACAATCTACGAAACAAACAAAGGAGGGTCCTACTACTGAACTTCCGTTCATTGTTGATTTGAGTTTTAAAGATCCAATTCTTGAGGCAGAAGCAAGTCTACTGCTTGAGGATGAGGCAAATTCTGAAAATGAAGATGATGTGGAGTTACTCCATGCTAGGTTTTTGCTAAAGAAGCTGGTGACAAATTCAAAGATTCCTGGGAAAAGTAAAGACAACAACAATAGCTCTGCCAATGAAACACTACTTGAAGAAGAGGTAGGTTTGGAGGATGATGGCAATGACACATAATACTTCAGTTCAAGCGATGAAGGTAGTTACAAATTTGGTTCTAACAATGAAGAAGAAGATTTTGTAAGAGTAAAATCCAGATTTCCAAGCTTCAAATCAGATGACAAGGTTGATTTTACTTTGGGAATGAGCTTTGAGTCAAAAAGTCAGGTAAAGGATGGTGTTAATAAATACTCTGTGAGTAATACGTACCCCTTCTATTGGGCAAAAACTGCTCCACCATGCTTAGGGCCAAGTGTTCAAATTTGAACAAGACTTGCACATGGATGGCCTAGTTTGGCATTGAGAACAGAAGTAGCAGCAAGAAGTGGGTGCTGAAGACCTACATCAAGGACCATACATGCATGCAATCCAGGCTGGCAAATTCCTAGTGCCACTGCAAAGTGGTTGGTGCAAAAAAAATTCAACACTAAGCCTGGTGTGTCTGACATGAAAACCAGTGCTATGAAAGAGATGGTTAAAAGAGAACTCAATTGTGATGTATCTCTGGAACAAATGAAGAAAGCAAAATCAATGATAAGGAAGCAGCAAAAGGGAAATATAGAAGGTGAGTACAACAATTTGGAGGATTACAAGCTGAAATCCTAAGGTCTAATGCTGGAAATACATGCATATTACAACTTAAGCAGCCCAGTGATGTGTTTGAAAGATTTTATGTATGCTTTGATTCATGTAAGAGGGGTTTACTTGAGGTAGAAGGTTAATTGGGATTGATGGTGCATTCTTAAAGTCTGAAGTAAAGGGAGAAATACTCACAGTAGTAGCTAGGGATGCTCACAATCAAATGTTCCCAATTGCTTGGGCTGTTGTGCGGTCTGAGACAAAAGCAACATGGAAGTGGTTTCTAGAGAATCTAAGAGATGATCTACAGATTGGAAGAGCAGGTTGGGCATTTGTTTCTGACCAACAAAAGGTGAAATAGTACTGCAAAGACTCTACGGACCTGTTTACTAATAGAGATATTTTTCTGTTTTCTACTTATGTTTTTCGTTCTCCAATTTTCTGTTTTTATTTTTCACTTTTTCTATCTCCAGTTTTCTGTTTCTATTTTCTAGTTTTCTATTTTCAAATCCGAAAACATGTTCATCAATTTTTTCACCTAGTTCTGTGACCATCCAGGAGACTGACACTTTTACTTCACAGGTTACTAAATGGTGCTTATTAAGACTCGCGTTAATAAGCGACACATAAAATAAGCAATGTTATAAGATCATGCTTACTTCAAAAGGTTTAAAACATCGTTTAACATTAAAATGTCCAAAATAACCCTATACATATATAGACACACAAACATTCATGAACACAAATATATAATATAATATGTAGGATCGATCACCTCATGTGTGTACCCATACTCCTAATCCCTACCCTGCCCCTATACCTCGTACCCCCACCCTACACCATACACCCAATTCCACACCCTTGATCCCTACCCCTACCCTTACCACGATCTTACACTCTACCCATACTCCCCTAAAACCCTTCATACCCACCCCATACCTACTCGTAGGGGTCGGGGTAGGGAAGGAAGGTATGGGTGGGGGTGGGTGGGGGTGGGTAAGGGGTATGGTCGGGGTGGGGTGGTAAGGTCTAGGGGTACGGGTTGGGTGGGGTAGTGAGTGGGTTAGGGTGGTGGTTAGGGGTAAGGGTGGGGGTAGTGAGTAGGGTTGGGGTTGGGTAATGTAGGTGTAGGGTAGGGAGTTGGGATAGGATGGCGGTAGGGTGGGGCCAGGATCAGGGTGGGGCCGAGGTAGGGTGGGGGTAGGATGGCAATAGGGTGGGGGCAGGATGGTGGTAGGGTGGGGCCGAGGTAGGGGCATCTGGGAAGGGGTAAGGTAGGGGTAAGTGGTAATATACGAGGTGGGGGTAGGGTAGGGTGGGTCGGGGTGGGGTTGAGGTGGTAGGGGTGGCGGTAGGGTAGGGTGGATCGGGGTGGGACAGAGGTAGGGCCATGTGGTAGGGGTGGGGGTAAGCTGGGTAGGGTAGGGTAGGGTAGGGGTAAGGGGTAATGTACGAGGATGGAGGTACTAGAATGGATTCGACATTGAAGTGGGACCGGACCCACCACTAGGTGTAAGTATGCAAATTCATTGCAGCGGCCTGTAGCATCTGCGTTTTCCAAATTTGGAAAACTAGTAAAAGTCACTTCTCCAAATCTTTAAGGAAAAGAGAGACATGTCTCATTTTTTTCGTTTTGGAAAATGGTTGGGTAAATGCGTTTTTCTGTTTTCCTTTCTCCAGTTTTCCACCAATTTTCGTTGGTAAACACGTTTCCTGTTTTATGTTTTCTGGTTTTCCAGTTTTCTGGAAAACTGGAAAATATCTTTGTTAGTAAACAGGCCCTACCAGTTTCATTATTTCTGAACTTAATTTTGATTGTATGTCTTACCAGTTTCATTTGTTTCAGGGCTTAATGCCAGCTTTATATGAGACTCTACCAGAGGTTGAGCATAGAAGATGTGTCAGTCACATTTATGCCATATGGAGAAGAACCCACCCTGGTCTTGAATTGCAAAGACAATTTTGGAAGTGCTGGAAGGCTACCTCCAAAAGAGAGTTTGAACAGAATCCTGAGGGCCTCAAATCTCTATCTCCTACTGCTCATGAAGATATAGTGAAGGTAGATCATAAATTTTGGTGTAGAGCATTCTTTGATAGGGGTATAAAGTGTGAAACTGTTGATAACAATCTTTGTGAGGCTTTTAATGGAGCAATAGTGCCTGCTAGATCTCAGTTAGGTTATTCCCAATTGGAGTATATCGGAAAGTTGGTTATGCAAAAGCTAACCAAAAATAGGGATTTAGCTGATAAGTGGATAAGTCAGTTAGGCCCTAGAATTAGGAGAAGGATAAATAACACAATAATGGCAAACAATTATTGGAGGGTGCAGTTTAATGGGGCTGATGGTTATGAATTGTCATGTGGTTCTGACACCTATCTAGTTGTTTGTGTGAGCAGTGGGATGTGTCTGGGATTCCTTGCAAACACGCAATATGTGCCATTAGAGACAAAGGGCATCCTATAGAGGATTATGTGTCTAATTGGTACAAGAAAGACATGTATAGGCATACGTATTCTTTCATGATGACACCTTTAGCTGGTCCATTATTCTGGCCTAAAACAAACATCAAGGTCTTACCTGTTGCACTAAAAGAAAAAGAACTAGGCAGGCCCAAAAGAAATAGAATAAAGGAATTAGGTGAGTTTCCAAGGAGTGGCAAGCTACCCAAGAGAGGTACTACAATTACATGTCAGTTATGCTTCAAGAAGGGCCACAACAAAAAAGGTTGTCCTTCAAAAGATCAAATAATGAAAGGAAACTCTATTTTTCCTTATGATGACATTGAAGCTGAAAGTTCAAGCCCAGTACAGAATTCATGTACCTATTGCTCCCAAGAAGGCCACACTCAGAACCTTTGTCCTAACAAGAACAACCTAGATGAGGTAAATCACCTCAAATGTCAGTTTTTAACATTTTTGCATATTCATATAGCTTGATATTTGTTAAGTGTGTGTATTAAATGTTGCTAGAAAACCAATGGTGGCAATGTACCTACAGCACAATCAAATGCTAGTGGTAGTACTTTGCAATCTTATTTCACTGAAAACCAATGCTCAGAGGTTCCAGGTGGTGAGGGTGTATTCCGATGGAGAGGGAAAAAAGCAATTATTGTTACTGGCTTGGAGGTTTGCTTGCGTATTTATAATTTTCAGTTCTGTATTACATATAAAAAAGAGAAGGAAAATGAATGTAAGTAATGGATTGGTTTGAATTTGTGCAGAGATTAAGAGCAAGGAATCAAACAGCAAGGAATGCAAATGCTAGAAGATTAAGGAAAAGAGGTGCTGAAGAGGTGGAAGTTCATGTTGATGCCACAACTGCAAGACAGAGGTTCCATGCTTTGTATGACTCAATGGAAGACAATTATGGGCATTAGTTAGCTTATGTAATGTTTTTTGGGGCAATCATATATCCATTTTTTGGCTTGTAAGGATATTGAACAATACAAGATATGTATATGGGCTAATGGGGGTCATTTGCAAGATTTTTGTGTTTTTTTACTTGCAAATGATATTCAAGTGATGTAGTTTTAAACTTCAAACATGTATGTATTAAACACAATGGTTTCAATTCATGGGCTTTAAGTTCATGTATGGTATGAATGAAATGTTTCAGGTCAATGTTTATAGCAGATCTGGTATTGAGGTGTTTATTGCAGGCCTGGTATCGATCAATGTTTTCATGTATGGTATTCATGTATGTATTCATGTATGTTTATAGCAGGTCAATGTTTTCAAGTCATATTTGAGGTCCATATGAGGCTGAGGTCATATTTCAGGTCATATTTGAGGTCCAAATCAGGCTGAGTTCATATTTCAGGTCATATTTGAGGTCCAAATCAGGTTGAGGTCATATTTCAGGTCATATTTGAGGTCCATATCAGGCTTAGTTCATATTTCAGGTCATATTTGAGGTCCATATCAGGATGAGTTCATATTTCAGGTCATATTTGAGGTCCAAATCAGGCTGAGGTCATATTTCAGGTCATATTTGAGGTCCATATCAGGTTGAGTTCATATTTCAGATCATATTTGAGGTCCAAATTAGGTTGAGGTCATATTTCAGGTCATATTTGAGTTCCGTATCAGACTGAGGTCATATTTCAGGTCATATTTGAGGTCCATATCAGGCTGAGGTCATATTTCAGGTCATATTTGAGGTCCATATCAGGCTGAGTTCATATTTCAGGTCATATTTGAGGTCCATATCAGGCTGAGGTCATATTTCAGGTCATTGTTAGATCTCATATTAATGCCATTGATTTCAGGTCATTGTTGAGGTTCATATCAGGCCAAAAGTGACTTCATTGATTCAATGCTACTATATGGTCCATATCATTCAAAGAAACAGAGTCATACCTAAGCAACTGATATGAAATGGTCTAAATAAAAGTCAGCAAATGATACACCTAAATTACATCAACTTAAACTGATACATCAAACCTAAGCAACTGATAAATCATACCTAAGAACTAATACATCAAACATCAACTGAAAGTGTTACACCTAGTTGTGATACATCAAAGCTAAGATAGTGATACATCAAAGCTAACAAAATGATACATCGGTTCATAAAACAACCATTCTAACTTAATCCATGCCAGCATCACACATCTTCCAATCTACCTTCTTCTTGCTTCCACTGTCATTCAAAACAAGCCATATCACAATCACCACTAATCCTGCAAGAATGCACCACAAGACACTCCAAATTCTCTATTTTTTTAGACAAGCCTTTTTCCTTTGCCTTCTCCTCAACAAGCTCAACTTCCAATTTGTTTATTTTCCTCAATAAACCAGGAATAATCATCTTGGACCTATAACACATTTCTTCATCAAGCCATTTGAACATGTTGCAACAGGCAGCTATACCCTATTTGTAATGATACCATTATTCAAGAAGAATCAAAATCAACAACAAATCAAAGATAACATATTTTTATCATTCGAATGTCCTTACTCTTGAGCAGGCGATGAATCGTCTTCCTGGATTGTCATTTGTCCATGAAGTCATTATCTTTGCTGGAATTCCACAGTAGCAATTTCCATAAGACGTTTGTCTGGTTCTCAAACCTGTAAGCGAAATGGAATGCATTTCGTAAGTTCATGATATGAATACAACAGAAGATTAACAATGAACACAACCCCGCACCTTCGCCGGGGGAAGATGATATGCCGGAGGACGAACTCACCTTCACCTTCAACAACGAACTCACCTGCAACGTCTTCTATTGGGCTTGTCTCAATTTCTAGGGTTCGATTGGAGTATTTAGGAAGATGCTGACTTGGAGGCCACGGTTTACCACACGAAAGGCTAACTGTTATGCCATATCAGTAATCTGTTGACTAGGTCAGCTATTTAGCAGACCTAATAGCCCGATGGACGAAATTATACCCGATTTGGCAAGTTGATGTACCGTTGAATCCCACTGACAGAATGATGTACTCTTTACTCCCACGCTCCCAAGTTGATGTACCAAACTGACACTTTTCTCTATATTTGTCTCTTAAAACTTTGTCAAATTTGATCGGTACGATGATTCATAAATTAAAAACTATGTGGTTGATATATGTGCAGGTGATAGAGAATTAACTGGAACCACAAATTCTTTATTTAAAAGGGAAAATGGCAAAGTTAATGGGATATCGAAAAGTTTGCAAAGTTTTAAGGAACAGATGGAATATAAGAAAGTAATTTGAAAGAATTTACCATGTTTCATTTTGCCATTTTGCCCCGAGTAATGCAACGTGTCTTCATTTTCCATGTTTCACACAATTATTCTCATAATGCTCCATTGCTTCACCATTTGAAAGAATTTACATACTTTTTATTTTACTGAAGGTCTGTTTTCAAAAGATTAAGAAAAAATTTATCGATTTTCAGCTTAAAAAATTAAAATTAGTGTTTTCAAGTGACAACTTCTACTTAAAAAAACGTTTCTCGGCTTTTGGCTGAAAACTGCTCTTTACTTTTTCTATTAAATTAAAAGCACATATTTTATCAAACAATACTAATTTTTACTTTTCAAAATCACTTTTTTCTCAAACACTATCAATTTTACTATTAATTACTTTTTCCAAAATCACTTCAAAAAGTGTTTTTTAAAAGAAAAGCATTTGGAAACACTTTCTAACTACGTTGAAAGCAAATGTGGTGCTGAGGAAAGATGTGGGGCCCAACATGAAAAGGATCCTCTTTTCTTCAAAGTTTTACTGAGTGTAACTTTGAGATTCTTTTTTCAATTTTTACCAAAATTATATAAAAATTCAAAAAAAAAATAATTTTTCAATTGACAAATAGATTACATGTGAAGAATGAGAATTTTATAAAAATAGTACTTAACTTATTTACAACAAAAACAGCATCCAAGCCTTAATCCTAAAAGAATTGGAGTCGGCTAACATGAATCTATCCATGATATGAGTGCGAAAAAAGAGAAGAAAGATAAAAGAAAAAAAGGATAAGATAAAATGCATACGATAAAGATAAATATAAGATAACAATAATATAAGAATATAAGAAAGATAAAAAATAAAAAGATAAAAGAGCATAAAAAGATAGAAGATAAAAATATCATAAGAACATAAAAAGAAAATGAAGATAGACGATAAAATAAAATGAGAGGAAAAGATAGAAAAGAGATCACTCGTCCACAAGAATGTGCGCCCTCCACTTTACTTTGTCTAAAATCATACTCTCCTCCGACCCAAGAAGACGCATATCAGTTATGATTCCTCTAATCCAAGTCTATTTGGGTCTTCCTTCTCCTCTCCTCCCTGCCTCTCTTCCTTGTCTCTTCTCCCCAGCTCTCAAGTCATCTAATAGGTGCATCATTCGGTCTTCTACGCACATGACCAAACCACCGCAAACGAGACTCCTGCATCTTTTCTTCTATGGGTGATACTCCCATCTTTTGTCTGATTATCCCATTCCTCAAGCAGTCTTTTACTCTTTTCTAATATGTCCACACATCCAACACAGCATACGCATCTCTGCCACACTCATCTTTTGAATGTGACATTGTTTCACCGTCCAATACTCCACAACATACATTAATGCAGGCCTAATTGTTGTTCTATAAAATTTCCCCTTCAGTCTAGTTGGCATACCTCGATCACATAGAAATCATGATGCACTCTTCCATTTCATCCACTCAGCTCTGATTCTATGGGATACATCTCCATCCTTCTGAATTATGGAATTAGTCAGAGTGAATCTGGTAAAGTAGTATGACAAGTCATACTCCTAACCATGTCCTTCATTGTACGGTTTTGTCTCTCAGCAACACCATTCATGCTAGGAGTTCCTGGCATTGTGTATTGAGGAACAATTCCACATTCCTCTAGGAATTTAGCAAATGGCCCTGAACGTTGTCCACCGGAACCATCATATCTACAATAGTATTCACCACCATGGTCAGATCTAACAGTTTTTATTCTTTTGCCTAATTGATTTTCAACTTCGGCCTTATAAGATTTGAACACGTCTATTGATTGGGACTTTTCATGAATGAGATAAAGGAAACCATAACGAGAGTAATCATCAATGAATGTGATAAAATATGTTTGACCATTTCTACATGGTGTAGGGAATGGTCCACAAATGTCTGTATATATCAATTCTAATAGATCTGAAGCTCTCTCGGTACCTAATCTCCGTTTGTTCGTTTGTTTTCCCTTAACGCACTCAACACAAATATCTGAATTTGAGGAGTCAAGGGAATCAAGAATTCTATCTGACACAAATCTCTTAATTCTTTCTTTAGAAATATGTCCTAGACGCTTGTGCCAAAGTGAAAACGAATTCTCATTGATTAATTTTCTTTTAGTACCACGACTACTTGCATTCAAGGTTTCATTATATGAGGTAATTATATCAAGTGAATATAGATTATCATAAACTGATAAAAGAGCAGTACCAATAAGTTTTGAATCTTGAAAAAGACTAAATTGACTATTTCAATATGAACAAGAATAACCAAATTTGTCCAATGCAGAAATAGAAATTAAGTTCCTCCTAAATGACGGCACAACAAATGTCTCTTTCAAATCCAAATAAAAACCAGTCTTTAATAATAATCTAAAAACACCGATAGCCTCAACTTCAACCCGCTTGCCATCACCGACATAGATGTATCTTTCACCATCAATTGGTTTTCGGCAGCTCAGGCAACCCTGCATAGATACACTTATGTGAGTAGTAGCACCAGAATCTACCCACCAAGTGTCTTTTGGTACCGAAATTAAATTAACCTCAGAACAAACAAGAGCAAGAGACATACCCATTTTCGCACGCCAAGTGTGGTACTTAGTGCAGTTCTTTTTCTTGTGATTAGTCCCTTTGCAAAAGAAGCATCCAGATTCCTTAGTTTCTTCCTTAGTTTCCTTATGATGCTTTCTTTAAGGCCCTGAATTTACAGCTTCCTTAATTTTCCTTTTCTTGTTACCCTTAGAGGTAGATGCCAAATGAGCACTTTCAGTCTTATCTTGCTTTATTCTCTCTTCCTCTTGAACACAATGAGAAATGAGCTCATTGAGAGACCATTTCTCCTTAATTCAGTTGTAAGTGACTTTAAATTGATTGAATTGAGAAGGAAGAGAGATCAAAACTAAA